AGCGACACATTGCGACATAATTCACCGGAATTGTTTGAAGTTTCACATTTAAACTTCGTAAGGGGTATTACAGCCTATAATAACAAGTAAGCAAAGGCTATAGTCGTGCGGGGCCGACCATGTGATACCCTACAACACTACAATATGTAAGAAGCCCCCTTACGTCCAAATTTATTTTATAAAAATTTTTCTGTTTTTGGTTCATTTGAACCCCTAAATATTTTGCGATCTTCTCAAATGCAAAAAAAATGCAATAGGCCCCTATGTACTTCAAATTTAAACTCATCTATATGATTTGCTTGTATACAATATGCTGCTATATTCGTCAACGAAATCAGCATAAAAAAGCCAGAAGTTCGCCTTTTGTGTATTTTGGATATCGTCTGTAAGTAATGTTAGTATTTTTTCACACAAAAGTAGTGGTCCATTCTACCCGCTCTAACTTCAGGTGAGATTTCATGTCCTTTGTTTTTTACTTGTGACCTTTATAACGGCTGCAAAATCAGGAAATTTTTTAGTTGTTGGTCCATTTCAACCCCTAAATCATCTTTGAAAACAATAGGCCTAGCCCTTCTGAGCCTATCCCTACCCTTGTGAAAATTTTCGTGAAGATCGGACGATAATTGCAATCTGTATATAATAACCCCAACCTGTGCTGTAAGGTGGGAAAATGTTATATTTTGTTATATTTATATTTTCAATATTATAAGTCAAATTGAAAAAATCGCATGCGATAAAAAATATGAAAAAATAAAAAAATGTCACAAAATACTACAAAATCTATATTAACATCATTATTGATACCTTTCTATGCGATTTTTTAGATTTTATTCCTTTATGTCAAGAGGACATTTGCCAAAATCGGTCCAGCCATTCTTGAGATATAAGCATTCTAACTAACATCCCCTTCCTTTGTATATACACATTGTATATATTTCCCTATATATATCCGATATATTTACTATCGGCATCTACATAACGGTTAGAATTGAACTGTTCGTCTATTTGTGATTTCGCCGGGATTAAAAATATTCGCGGTTTAATGGAAAATTTGACTTTTATTTAACACAAATGTTGTGGCCTATTTCACCCACTAAATATTACCCGATGACCATCAAAATTGGAAGGCTTCTGCCCAGCCCTAAGCTCTAGCCCCATAATAACTCCCGCTTAGATTGATCTATAATTGCGACCTGTAGAGCAACTGCAAAATCTGGAATTTTTTCAGTTTTTGGTCCATTTCAACCCCTAAATGTTATGCGATTATATCCAAAAGTAATAGGGTTCTATTCTGACCTAGCCCCACTTCCATTCAAAATTTCGTGAAGATCGGGCCATAATTGCGACCTGTAGCGTGATTACAAATTAACATGGACAGACGGACGGACGGACATGCATAGCTAGATCGACTCAGCTCAGCGAGCTAGGAAACCAATGTGGGAAACCAATATTTCGTGGTGTTACATATCTTTTGGGCCAATCAAACTTATAATTACCCCAACACATAGTGTTGTAGGGTATAAAAACTGTATATGCAGGACCATGTCTTCGTATATCCTCCATATAACGGTTTTTTTTAAATCGGCATATTTCGACAGAACATTTTTTGGACATTTTTTAAAGTTCCTTAAAAACAGATCTTGTTCTGATGGAAATATTGAGACGTACCAAGTCTGAATGGAATAGGATGTTAGGAGGTTTTATGAGCACCAAGAAGGTATGTTCCGATCTCTACCATCTTTATAACAGATCTTGTGTTGGTAGAAATATTGAGATATTCCAAGTTCGAATGGAATCGGATGTTAATTTCGCGTTTTATGAGCGTTTTATGTGGGGGGAGGTACAAGAGGGAAACGACCGATATATCCCAACTTTACAGCAAATCTTGTGAAAGTAGAAATAATGGAATGTATGAAATATGAAGAGATCCGAATGATTATTCCTTATTTTATGAGAGTCATAATTATTGAATATTTTAACCCATGGGAGGTATCTTCACGGCTGATCTTGTGTTAATCGAAATATTGGAATGAGCTGAGTTTGAAAATATTTGCATGAATATTGTGTATCTTTAACCGTTTTGGTTATCAAAAATTTGTAAGGGAGGTACCAGAAGGAGTGGACCGATATATTCCATATCTTCACACCAGACCTTGGGTTAATAAAAATATTGTGATGTGCGAAAGTAGTAGGCTATCGGATTTTTATATCACAATCTATAAGGGGTTTAATTATTTAAAGTTTTGACCCTTTGTGGGGGAGGTATGGAGCGATATTGTCTATTTTCGCACCTACCGTAGCATAAATATTAAAATTAGAATGTTCCTGGGGAGGTACCCTATGAAGTTAACCGATATTGCCCATCTCTGAACTCGATGTACGCTTTATAATAGCATTACGATATACCAAGTTTTGACCAAATCGGATACATTTGGAGTCAATATAGCGATTTCCGTCCGGACGTCCGCACGATAACTCTCGAGTGTCATGCCAGCCAGACCGACGGGCGGACGGTCACCACCAGATCGACTCCAAATGTCTTGAAACGTATTTGGTCCAAAGAGGCCTAAAGTCTAAAACCGTTATTTTGATGAGGCACGTTTTGGGCGTATCAAATGATATATATACCCTCTCTGGACACATGATTGAGGGTATAATCATCAAAATAATATGGGGGCCATACGAAAATGTGTGCCTATGTGTATAATTTTCTATCAGAGAATATAGTACTTATTATCGACTCCATATACTAACTTTAAAATAATTCCTTTGAATAATGCCCCTAAAATCATCAAAATACAGAATATGGGGAGGTACCTATGGGGCTATACGAAAACGTGAGCTTGTATAACAAATTGTCTCCAAGTACCAAATTTGAAACAATTCTGTTTAAAAATGTGACTAAAATTGTAAAAAATCCGAATATTCATAGGTTAAGACCGTAAATGAGCCCTGTCTCTCGACGTTTTGATATAGCCCCAATATAACGATATCTCCCAATATTCGGTATTTTGATGATTTTAGGTAAATTTCTTACCGGAATTGTTTTAAATTTCGTACATGAAGTTCGTAATGGATACTACATTCCACTTCTTCATATAACGACACCTCCCTATATTTTGTAATTTGATGCTATTGGCGGCATCATTCACCGGAATTGTTTCCAGTTTGATGATATTAGAGACATTTTTTACCCGAATTGTTTCAAATTTCGCATCTGTAGTTCGTAATGAGTACAGGGTTGCCCATATTCGACGGACCCATCTGGCAACGCCATAACTTTTGACAGAGATGTCACATCGCTTAATGACATACCGCGTTTGAAGCGTAAGTCCAAGCAGATTTTTACCATGAACCAATACACGCCACGCGAGCGCTCTGAAATATTTGAAATTTACATTCAACAGAAGCAGTCAATTGTGAAATGCCATCGAAATGGCCGAAGATGACGAGCAATTTTGGAACAAAATTATCATGTCCGATGAAGCCCATTTTACATTGAATGGGACCGTAAATAATCAAAATTGCCGTTTTTACGCCACTGAAAATCCACAGGAGATTCAAGAAGTGCCTCTTCATGACGAAAAAGTCACAGTTTGGTTCGGCGTTAGTGCGAAAACTGTCATTGGGCCGTTTTTCTTCCAAAATGAAAATGGCCATGCTGTTACCATCAATCAGGAGCGTTATCGCGACATGATGACCAATTTTGTGATGCCAATTATTCGTCGAAGGCGTATGAGGCAGTTCTGGTTTCAACAAGACGGCGCTCCACCGCACACAAGTCGCATAACAATCGATTTTCTGAAGAATTTGTTTCCGGGCCGTTTGATGTCGAAAACACCACGTTCGCCCTATTTGGCCACCGCGTTCGCCCTATTTTACGCCGCCTAACTTCTTCTTGTGGGGATATTTGAAGTCAAAGGTTTACGTTAACAAACCAAGGACCGTAGAAGAGCTCAAGGACAACATTCGTGAAGAAATAGGCGCTATTCCGGCTGAAATCTCGGCAAAAACGATGGAAAAGGCAGCAAAAAGGGCACAATACGTCATCAACGCCAGAGGCGGCCATTTGAGAGATATCATATTTAAAAATTGATGTAAACAAATCTACTTGGAACAAATTAAATGATTAACATTGCCAACCGCCAAATTTTTATTTTTTTCTTTGATTTAAAACAAAAAAAACATGGGTCCGTCGAATATGGGCAACCCTGTACTATAGCCTATGAAAAAATGTATATGCAGGACTGGTATTTTTCGACGGATTTTTTTTTGCATTTTGTCAAGTTACTTCGAAATGGTGAAGGGTATTAAAAGTTCTTTACTTGTTTCCATTGTCCTAGAGAACGCCATTTTTACGGTTTCTATTTGAAAAAAAGACATTTTCATTTGGAATAGCTTCTGTTTATAGAAAAATAGAACTCTTCCTATACAAATCATATCCCCTCCTTACATAGTTTTATCATTACAAATTAGCTTTCATTCTCCGTTTTCATTCCCTTTCCCAAAAATTTGATATCGTCTCAATGCCTGCCTTTATTTCATCATAAAATCAAATTATCTCCCAATTTGCTTTTCAAATTGTTCAATTAGAAAATCTACATCACGGTGACTTCTCATCCATCTGCTGTCGTCGCCGCCAGCCAATTTGATGTTCTTACAAATTGTTGAGAAATGCTTTGCTCCTCGTTGGTCTGGCTTTGAATGGAAAACAAAATCCACTTTACTCGTACCTGTGTTATCGTGAACAGAACATGTTTCTGAGCAGCTAATATTACTCTGTCCGTTGATGATAGATGACAGCGTTGACATTTTTAATACAAAACGTGCAGAAAATTTTGTAGAACGAAAATAGCTCTGGTGGACAATTTATTCCGAGGTTTATCATATCAATCGATTGGTGTTCTCTACTCCCCTCAACCTAAAGCGTAAATAGTCCCCGAGTAAAAATGGCTTTGGAGCCTTTGGCAATGGGAAATCTACCTGTTCGACTATTATATTTAGTATTGTTGTAGAATGGTGTGCTGCAAGCCTAGAGGGAGGAATGTAAAGTGTCAGTACTTACCTTGCCAAATATCGTTAAACCTCCATGTTTAACGTTGAACGTTGGTGCATCCGCATAACTGGAATCCGCCCATGGTGTGTGACACGTCGATGTCAGTGTCATATACCGAACACCGATGGCATATAGAGTCCTCAGCACAGCCAATGAACCGCCCAACGAATGTCCACCTTCAACGCCTGTCAGCGAACAAAGCTGATGGTTCTTGTGGGCTTCGATGATTTCTGTAACAAAATGAGAGAAGAACAGGCGAAAAACATGAAATGGTGAAATGACGATAAGTGGTTAGAAAAGTAAAATCCAGGAAATTGAGTTTTGTTGTTGTTCGCCAAACAATGATGTGTGCCTGAGTTGGGTGTTGTTGATGGTGAAATGTTTTTGGGGTGGTTGCAACAGCAACGGGATATGGTATTGAAGAGTTTCATCAGGATTGTATTGTTCAATAGGTGGTGTAAATTTGAAATGGTTTTATGTGTAAGATTTGCAGATATCTTCTCTTAACTTATATGACTACAAAAAGCTAAAAAAAATTAAAAATATTGTAGCATAAACTACATAAAATGCAGAAATTGGGCTGGCAGGGATATTCAACAAATGCCAGTTTTTATAATATCAACCGACTGTGTCTCAAATAGGTGAATATACTAAAACATCCAGTAGATTATGGAAGTACAACAAAAAATTTATAACACTTTTATCTATGTTTTTAAAAATAACATCGCAAAATAACCTAAATAGAGAGGATAAATTCGTCTTCTTCCACAATCTTTCTTTAATTTCAGGATTAAGATTCCTTGAAATCTTTGTGTATTGAGGTATACAGGGTGAGATAAAAAAAAAAAAAACAAAAAAGTCAAACGCCATAATTATTACATTTTTTTTTTTGAAAGAAAGCAAAAATGTCGGAAATAGCATCAAATTTTAGAATAAGTTTAGATTTGTTCGAATTGGTCATCTTTGGCACGAATTATGGCCTTCGAACGGTCAATGAAACCGTCACACGCTGGCCGAATGTTTCTCTGCGGAATTTTGGCCCATTCCCGGCGAAGCGCTTACTTTAGGTGATCGACACTTTGGTATTTTTTAGTGCCAACCTTGCTTTCCAAAATACTCCAGACACAATAGTCCAACGGATTGGTATCCGGAGATTTTGGTAGCCATTGTGCGCTGGAAATGAAGCGAGGAATCTCATTTTGTAACCATTCTTGGATGGCGCGTGCTGAGTCCTGTTGGAATGTCCAAGGTTTGCGGCAAAAATGTTTGCGTGCCCAATACACCTTCCAGAATATTTTCAGCATTTATTCTGATGCCACGGTCGATTACTACGAGTGTAGAGCGACCATCAGCTGTTATGGCGGCCCACACCATTACCATGGCCGGCGCTTGAGTTCTGGTGGCCAACCGAAGGTGCACATTTTCAGCTGACCTCTTTTGCAAGTGAACACGATAATTTGTGTTTGTTTACAAACTGCTGGACAACGAACGTTTTCTCATCGGAGAAACCCCAATTCGGCACTTCACTCCTTTTGGCCAAGCGATGAAACTCTTTAGCTCTTTTGAGTGTATTTTGTTCGGTGTAGGTATACGTTCTTGCACTTTTTGGAAGTTCAATGGCTTTACACCGAACTCATTTTTCAATATTTGCCGAATGGAATATTGCGATATGTTCAGCTCACGAGTCATTTTTCGGCCACTGCGACGCGGGTTTCGATCAAGTCGCTTCGTTACTTTTCGAACCATTTTTGCTGATTTTCTTTTCTTGATTTTCTTCCATCCACTTCCTTGACGTCGGGCTACGCTACCAGTATCGCGCTAACAAACGATGGTACGAGACACAAAAGTTTTATTCACATTTAATTGCTGGAGTGCTTTAACGATAGCCACTTGGACACAAGCGCAAACATTTTACAAAATGAAGTTCCTCGCATCATTTCCAGCGCACAATGGCTACCAAAATCTACGGATACCAATCCGTTGGGACTATTGTCTCTGGAGTATTTTGGAAAGCAAGGTTGGCACTAAAAAATACCAAAGTGTCGATCACTTCAAGCAAGCCCTTCGCTGGGTATGACCCAAAATACCGCAGAGCAACATTCGGGCAGCGTGTGACGGTTTCATTGGCCGTTTGAAGGACATAATTCGTGCCAAAGGTGACCAATTCGAACAAATCAAAACTTATTCTAAAATTTGATGCTATTTCCGACATTTTTTACTTCCTTCACTAATTTTTTTTTTTTTAAATAATGTAAAAATTATGGCGTTTGACTTTGTTGCATCTTTTATCTCCCCCTGTAAATCAATAAAACTAGTATGTACTACCCACATTCTAAATCGCAGCTGGGGTTTGTTTGAACGAGATTCGACACAAATTGTATGCTTAATACCGAAAGAGGGGATTCATCCAGATCTGCGGTAATATTAATTTATATATTTAAAGTCATATTTGTTTTGAACCACTCCATCTTTATTTCGGCAAAATTGTAAGCCTTAATTGGAATTTTGTTTAATGGATTTTCCGCACTATTGCCTTTGGAAAATTTTTACATATATTTAAGCCCTCCTCTCTATGAATTCCCAAATTCGAGGATTTCCTTGTTTCTTTAGTCAGCAGTGCGATCACAATGACATGTCTCTAAATGATCAAATTACTGGGCCCATCTTCTTTTCAATAAAATATTACCTACACCATAACTGAATTGTTCCCTACTACATATATCTCATGGACGGCACTGTCAATTTTGAAGTTTTGCCTCTTTAATTATTTGTTCATAGTTTGTTTTTCTGCTCCAGTTTCAGGACAATTGTTTTCTACTTCTCTGTGCTATTCTCTACATATATTTCAATTGTGTTTTTTCCCTTCCCCCAAAAAATATTTGTTGTTCATCGCTTTTTGTTTATGGTTAATGGTGTGTGCATCAATTTTTGATTTATTTTTAGTTTGGAACATTCCCCCACCCCTGGGGTTGGCAGAGTAGAAAAAAGAATGAAAAAAAAACTAAAAAAGATATGGAAAACAATAAAATCTTTATTAGAGATTCACATTTCTAGGGCAATTGAAAAAGAGGACCACAATAGTTGTTCAATTTAAAGATGTTGTAAATTTTATTTGAAATACGAAAAAGGAAAATACAGTTCGTTGTAAATCAGAGAGGTTGGTTGCTTTTTATAGCCTCATATGGATATATTTTTCACGGAACTTTCATGTTAAAGATAAAAGCCCTCTTTATTCAAATTTTGTACTAATTAATTTTGTAATTCAATACTGATGTAAAGACAATAGATGGCGTTGGTAGTGGAAAAATATGTTATATCACGATATCGTGATATAGCATTATATTATAATTTTACAGAGCTGACACATTTTAAGGGTTGTTGTTGATTTTTATCGATTCAATGTACAAGGAAACTCTCTGGAATAGATTTTTGAGAGCATGTTTATCATACGTGATATTTTTTCCGCGTATTTCCGCTATTTTTCGGCGATGTCGAAATAACATATTCTTCTAAAATTTCCAATGCATTTCTGTTATGTCGCCTACCATCTATTATCTGATAGAAAAATTAAAGCTCATATGCATTTTTTCCAATGTTTATACTTTTATGTCTTTGACTGATAATTCTCCAGAGCTTTTTTAGTTTACTGGTGTTTAGAATTACAAATCGATTTGCCATCCCAATAATTCCTATAAATTGTGTTTTTATACCCTGCACCACATAGTGGTAAGGGTATTATTTCTTTGTGCATTTATTTGTAACAGGGAGAAGGAAGCGAGATAGACCCATAGTTAATTCTGATGATATTCATAGAATCATTTTCTGATTCGATTTATGCATGTCAGTCCGTCCGCCCGTCCATGTATTCTTGTTAAAAAAATGCAGGTCGCATTTATTATCCGATTGAGATGAAAGTTTGCAAACAATATTTGTTTGGCCCAAGGAGGAACCCTATTGAAATTGGTGATAATCGGATCAGATTTAGATATAGCTCCCATATATCTTCAACCGATTACGGGTTAATTGTGCACCAAATTGCCAATATATGATCTAATGACCTGAATTTTGGTAAATCTGATCGAATTTAGTCTAGAAGCAAATACATCAAATTCAGATATAGCTATAGCTTCTACATATACGGGTTGCCCATACTCCACGGACCTTTGGGCCCATTCCAATCGACGAGGCTTGTCCGCAGGCAAACTTCTTTGCGTCAATTGAATTTTGTACGGGAACAAATGCAAATCAATGCGAATAATCCGTTGTAAAGTGGACCGAGCCATGCCCAACTGCTGAGAACGGCGTTTTTGGGATGTTCTTGGGGACCTCTCAACACTAGCTCGTACGGCAGCGATATTCTCGGCCGATCGCCTTTGTCGACTTTTGTATGGCCTCTTCGGATTAGAAAGAGCCTTACCAGTCGAAAATTTTTCGTATAAACGCTTAATGGTGTTCTTAGAAGGCGCACTTCTCACATTTTTTAATGTTTTAAAAGCACGTTGAGTTTTCACAATTGACTTCTTCTGTTGAATGTATATTTCAACTATTTCAGAGCGCTCGCTTGGCGTGTATTGGTTCATGGTAAAAATCTGCTTGGACTGACGCTTCAAACGCGGTATGTCATTGAGCGATGTGACATCTCTGTCAAAAGTTATGGCGTTGCCAGATGGGTCCGTCGAATATGGGCAACACTGTATGTTTCACCCGAATTGGGGTTTTAAGTCCCTCACATGCGTAATATGCACTCCACGACAATGATATTTGGTACCAAATGTTAGATACATCCCCGAAATACGTCTGCGAAGTTTTATCAAGATCGGATCAGATTTGGATATAGCTGCTTTATATATCTTCAACCGATTTTCGGGTTAATTGTGCGCCAAATGGCCAATATCAGTCCAAATGATCTGAATTTTGGCACATCCGACCGAATTCGTTCTAGAAGCAAGTAAGTTTGGTGACAATCGGTTCAGATATAGCTATAGCTCCCATATATATGTTTCATCCGATTTGATTTTTATGTCCCTCATATTCGTAATATGCATTCGACAACACTGGTATTTGGTACCAGATATCTTATAGAGTTCGGAATTACCTCTGCCAAGTTTTAGCAAGATTGGATCAGATTTGGATATAGCTGCTATATATATCTTAAACCGATTTTCTGGTTAATTATGTGCCAAATGGCTAATGACCTGAATTTTGGTACATCCGACCAAATTCTGTCTAG